GAGGACATGTAACCACACCCAGAGGACATGTAACCACACCCGGAGGACATGTAACCACACCCGGAGGACATGTAACCACACCCAGAGGACATGTAACCACACCCAGAGGACATGTAACCACACCCAGAGGACATGTAACCACACCCGGAGGACATGTAACCACACCCAGAGGACATGTAACCACACCCAGAGGACATGTAACCACACCCAGAGGACATGTAAACACCCCCCCGGAGGACAGTTAAATGTGTTTTAAAACCTGAGGCAGACTTGTTAACAGGTAAACTACCCCTGCTGAGATTTGGCATTAGCTCTGTCTGACAGCTTGTGTTCTGAAGTGCCTTTGAGCAAACACCGTGTACCCGTCACTTTTCTCTGCCACAGCCAGACGATCAGCATCAGGATCTGTCGCCAGAACGATCTGAGCGTTTTCCCGCTCGGCCAGAAGGAGAGACAACTCCTGGAAGACAGGAGAAAGAAACTATCTGAGGGCCGCCAACCGAATCCCAGACTGGTCTATTGCAGAACTCAGACCCACCAGAACCGACTCTCCCTCCTCTGGGTTTGGGCAGCGAACAGATGAGAAGTTTGGGTCGGGGTCTTTCTGCTCAGGGACGGGGATGGGCGGAGCAAAACCAAACACCTGGAAGGCCTGTTGGATGAAGGTATGTCCAACTCCGTGGAAGGACGAGTGGACGAACTTTAGCGAGCAGTTCCTGTTCAGGTCTCTAAAACACACAAAGGTCGGTTTAGGTTCTGTTCGGTTAATGACTAAAACAGGTCGGCAGGATTAAACCCAAGCCAAACAACAGGAAGTTACCCGTGAAAGGACAGGAAGTTACCTGTGGAAGCAGAGGGAGGTGAGGTCATCCTTGTAGCAGCTGTTGATTTGGTTCAGGGGGTCAGTTCTCAGGGAGCAGTGGTCCACCAGCTCCTCGTCCCAGCAGGAGGTGCTCCACGGCTCCAGCTGCTCCTCTATGCAGCGCAGGACCTCCTTGTCGTGGGGGGCGGAGAGCTGAGCACCATTACACCAGTACACCTGCAGGAGACAGGTAAACATCAGGGCATGTTTGAGGCTGTGTTCAAGGTACTCGCAAGTTCATGGTGTGTTCACGATGCGTTCAGGGTGTTTCCAGGTTGTGTTTAGTGTGTGTTGAGGTTGCGTTCATGGTGCGTTCAGGGAGGGTCAAAGAAGTGCTCAAAGCTGTGTTCATGGTGTTCTTAAGAGCGTTCCCACCTTGTATCCGTTGTCCTCTTTAGGATTATGTGAAGCTGTGATCATGACTCCTGCTGCTGCTCCGAGGCTTCTCACAGCATAAGGCTGAAAAACAAACGCAAACATGATTGAAGGTGGTCAGATGGAGCTCACTGTGGTAAAAACATATGTTTGTACTGGGTCTGGTGTTTCGACTAAGTTTAGACCTTTGTGTGTGACATGCAGCAGATGATGATCAGAGCATGCTCAGTGTGACAAAACCACAGATTTGTCAAGTCAAGATGACAGACTGTTCCTTTAACACTGAAACAGAGCAGCTGATGTGATGAAGCTGACAGCAGACACTTTAAGGGTCTACAGGAAGTGATGCATTAGTGCTTCCTCACCACATACGGCGTAGGAACGAATACAGAGAAAAGATGGACAGGAACGCCTCGGCTGAGCATCACCGCCGCAGTCAGCTTCGCCAACCTGAAACACACGGAAACAATCTGCTGCTGGAGCTCATCAGGAAGTACTGTTTCAATGGAGTGGAGGGGATTGGATCAGCAACAATGTTTAGGCAGGTTCTAAGAGTCAGTGGGACATCTGCATGCTGAGTAGGACTCAAAGCTTCCCAGAAGAACTTTGTCCAAAGTGCTACACTTCTTCCCATAATGCATCTGGTGCCACATCTTCCCCAGAGAAAAGAATATTTAGAATATTTCAAAAGTGTGTAAAGGATTTAAAATGTCTTATATATATA